TTGGTGATCTTCATTACTGGTTTAAGAACTTATTCCAGGGTTCATTTAAATGTCTCAAACTAATACTAAAACATAGATATCCAATCACAACAGGAATTTATCACAAGTGCTAAAATAATCGGCAACAAGATTTCTGTTAAAACTTTTAAGCAACATCAAACAGATTAATTCAATGGAAACAAAATACTGATTCAACATGCATACAAGATGAATTATAACATTCGTTGAATCTGTTTTAATGTTTGATTAATTCCTGGAGTCTAACTAGACATGCACAGAACACGAATTAAAGGGAAAGAGTAAGAACAGTGACTTGCCTGCAGTTTCAGATTTTGAAACTATAAACCAACGTCTCTGGATTTCCCGTAAACGTCTTAGGCTGCCGGTCACCACCTCCGGTGCTCTTGGTTCAACCCAAAAGTACTCCACTCTTTCCTCCTTGAGCCTCTCTGTATATTAGTCAGACTCACTCTCTGTTTCTCTGTCTCTCACAACTCTCTGTTACGTGAATAGGGTTAACAAAACCCTTGGCAGACCTATACTTATGTATTTATAGGTTTTAATTGAAACCCTAATTTAAATCCTAAACCAATTATATGTCAGCTCCAATCCTAGACACGATGTAAAACATGAAACCCTAATTACCAAAACAGTGAATTCACATAAGCTCGTAATTAATTAAACTTGAGAAATACATTTAAATTAATGAAACAAACCAAAATACAATTTAAGCAATTAATTAAAGAAAACACAATTTAAAACGATTAATGAAAGAAAAACACAATTAATTGAATTAAAAATAAAATAAATAAAATAAGCAAATAATTAATTAATTAAAATAAGCAAATAATCAATCAATTAAATAAAAATACAATAAATAATTAAATTAAATTCCAGGACTATCCTTTTAAAATTAGGGGTATTACATAGGCTGAGCCACAAGACTAAACAAGAATGCTGATTCACCGCAATCATCATCGTCAACACAATACAATCCCATCTCCGCCAGATTATTAAGCATCTTCCATTTCCGAATAGCTAATCCGGCCAAATTTCCATTAGATTTCCGGCTTAAGGCATCAACTACCACATTTGCCTTGCCCGGATGGTACTACAAATCAAAATTGTAATCTTCCAAAAATTCAACCCATCGTCTCTGTCTGTTATTCAAGTCCCTTTGGGAGAAAAAGTACTTGAGACTTTTATGATCCGAGTACACCTCGAATCTCTCACCATACAAGTAATGTCTTTAACACTTCAGTGCAAACACGACTGCTGCCAACTCCAGATCATGGGTAGGGTAGTTGTACTCATGAGTCTTTAACTGTCGAGACCCATAAGTCACTACTCTACCATCCTGCATCAACACACATCCCAACCCATCACGTGAAGCATCACAATAGATCACATAACCCAAGCTATGCTCAGGTATCACCAACACTGGAGCTGTAGTCAACCTTGTCTTTAATTCCTGAAAAGATGACTCACAGGCTTCATTCCATACAAACTTGATCCCTTTCCGGGTCAAACAAGTCATAGAAGCTGCCAAACGTGAGAAATCCTTTACAAACCTCCGATAGTAACCCGCTAGACCAAGAAAACTCCGAATCTCAAAAACATTCTTGGGTGGCTCCTAATTCAAAATTGCCTCAATATTTGATGGATCAACTGACACTCCACCTTCCGAAACAACGTGCCCCAAAAACTTCACCTCTTGTAACCAAAACTCACACTTTTCATTTTTGGCATACAATCGGTGTTCCCGTAAAATCTGTATAACAGTACTCAAATGGACCTCGTGCTCATCCCGAGTCTATGAGTATACGAGAATGTCGTCCATGAAAACTACCACAAACTGGTCCAAGTAATCGTGAAAGACGCGGTTCATCAAGTCCATGAATGCCGCTGGTGCATTAGTCAAACCAAATGGCATAACAAGGAACTTGTAGTATCCATACCGTGTACGGAATGCTGTTTTTGGGATATCCTCATCCTTAACCCGCAACTGATAATAGCCAAACCTTAAATCAATCTTCGAGAAACAACTAACTCCCCTCAACTGATCAAATAGATCATCTATCCTTGGCAAATGTGTAATACCACTAATTTTAGAAGGATAGTCTCGGTATTTATTTATTTGTTTTAATTGTATTTTTTAATTATTTAATTAATTATTTGACTAATTGCTTGTGTGTTTAATTGAATTAAGTATTACTTGATTATTTGATTATGTGTCTATGTATTATTTGTATTTGTCTATGTGTTAATTGTTTAATTAGATTATGTGCTTAAATGGTGTTTTGATTAATTGTAAATTAAATATTTTCTTTTCTTTTATTATTTTATTTTATTTTTCTTTTATGGTTATGCTTAGTAGTAATGGGCCAACCAATTGGGTCCATGGATTACTTGGATAGGAGGTTGGATGTGTATGAATTATTACCTATGGATAATGTATGTGTATATATAGATATATATTATATACATATATAAAAAGGAAAGTAATTTATTAATTATTTTTATGGTAACTTGAGTAGTAATATTTAATCTGATGTATATGTTTTATATTTAAATAATAAAAATATACATAGATTTGATACGTGTTATGTTTTAAGTTACTTTATAATATTATGATAACTTAAGTATTATTGGATAATCCATTAATAAATAATGGAATGTGTATAATTTATTTATTTAATAAACATATACATAAATTATATACGTAACATATTTTACTTACCTTTTTAATATATATATAAAAGAGAAAGTAATTTATTAATTACTTTTATGGTAATTTGGGTAGTAATATTTAATCTGATGTATATGTTTATTTAAATAATAAAAATATACATAAATTTGATACGTGCTATGTTTTAAGTTACTTTATAATATTATGGTAACTTAAATATTATTGGATAATCCATTAATAAATAATGGAATATGTATAATTTATTTATTTAATAAATATATACATAAATTATATACATAACATATTTCGCTTACCTTTTTAATATTTTTATTTTCATTTTTTTTAGTTAACTTGGATTAGAAAAAGGGTTAGGGTTATTTTATTTAGCCTATAAATATATAGCTATAGGTTGTAAAAGGGGGTTAGAAATATTCACGTGATATATACTGGAGAGATAGTGTTAGAGAGGGAAGGAGGAAAAGGAAGGAATGGGGAGAAAAACCCTGTAGAGAGAAGATCAAGGAAGAAGAAGTTTAACTTTCGATCCGAAAGTTTAAAGCAAGTTCTTCTTCTATCTCTTTCCCTTTGATTCGTGTTTCTGTACATGCCTAGGAAATTCCAGGATTTATTAAACACATAAAATTAAATAATTATGCATGTTTAATTGGGTTAGAACATAGGTTTTATGAAATTGATTCATGTCTGTTCTTGTGTTATGAATTGATAAAATGCATGATTTTGATTTGATTTCTTATGTGAATTTTTACATGTTTAAATTATGTATTTTTCATATCTATGGAATGATGGAACGTATAAACATGCCTAGGATTCCTGAACATTAAATAGGGACTAGGTTTGGGTTTTAATAAATTTAAATAGACTCAATCATAATGATGCTTGCTATTTGAATGTTTTAAACAAACGAATGGATTGAATCTTTTAAAATATTTTAGCAATTGAGATTAAATGTGTAGGATGAATTGGATATAGAGAATCCTAATTTAACAGTATAATAAAATATCATCATGTATAAGATTCAGTTTGTGTAGGACATATAATATAGGAAGTTTAAAGAAATAATAAGTCATTCCTATTATGTGATAACTTGATATCATATTTATCATAGTTATTTATGGAATGTTTGATGTATTTCCTTAATTATTACATCAATTGTTGGATTGTGTGGTTTAATGCACCGGTATGGGACGGTGGCATTCTAGGGATGGATTAACTTATCAGTTAAGTCCTACCTATTTTATATAAGGGAATGGACTAACTAAAATGTTAAGTCCTACTTATATTTAAGTCAGGTCAGCTGAACAAGTTGAATGACTTATGGAGGATTAATTTATTATATAAGGGAATGGATTAACTAAAATGTTAAGTCCTACTTATATTCAAGTCAGGTCAGCTGAACAAGTTGAATGACTTATGGAGGATTAATTTATACTGGATAGGATGGTTACTAGATTTTATATATATAAGTATGGTGCCATGATATGAGCTTGAGTCTCAGGATCAATGGTTAGGGCGCGTATATCGCTAGGGATGTGTAGCTAGATATAGTGTAGTTGTGTACCCTGGTAGGTCTAGGTACTCATGCCCACTATATGTGCGTTTTGCATGTTGCCTACTATTCAGGTTGAGACAACCCTATAGTCTAGTGAGGTTCCTTTAGTGTGTATATATATATATACGGACTACTAGTTACTGTTGGATTGACTAGGATGTATACGTGTATCGGATCTCTGCTTGGACTGTAGTAGAGTAGAACTTGTTTGTGGCCTGACCCACCATTATTTTTCAGGTGTTCGTCACGAGTAGAGGTCGTTCGTGCTAAGCGGGGATCAGTCTACTTCATTCTTCCGAAGTTACATAGGAGTTCCTTTATGATTCAGTTTCCTGTTTTAGATTACTGTCATTTGTTTAGTTTGGATTTTCTAGGGGTCCACACAGTATGGATTCCCGAGTTGTATTTTGGAGGATCAGTTGTATCAGAAGAGTTTATTAATTAATGAAAATATATTATGATGTTTATTATTAGATTATCATTTTAGTTTCTTGTCAGCATTTTATTTATTCTTCTTTATTCTTTTGTACTCTGTGTTCGTTTATTATCAATTTGTTTTGATATCCTCGGGTATTCGGGCGTGGGCGTGGGCGTGGGCCTGGCCAACCTGCATTCGAAAATCCGGGGGTATCACAAAATGATACTTGTTCTTAATGGTGACATGATTCAATTTTCGGTAATCAATGCACAACTTTAATGAACCATCTTTCTTTTTAGCACATTGCAAAGTTTGTGAAATTGATGCCAACTCTGTTTAAGGGCGGTCCAGATCCGCTTGTTGCGGATAGTTTCATGGATAGGGTGGAGAAGCATATTAATACTATGAATTTGGCAACGGACAAGTTGAAGATTACATTGGCTACTTACAATTTTGTGGGTGATGCTAAGATTTGGTGGAAGACCGTTTCTCACACCCATAATCTGGATACTATGACATATGCTACATTCAAGAAGTTGTATTATGAGAAGTACTTTCCGGTGCCTAAGCGGAGGGAACTAAAGAAGGAGTTTGATGGGTTAAAGCAAGGAAGTATGACAGTTACAGAGTATGAAAATAAGTTTACATCACTTTTGAGGTTTGCACCGGGAATTGCTAATGATGATGAAGGAAAGATAAAGAAATTTGTTGATGGCCTTGATCTTACCATTAGGCCAATTGTAGCTGCTTCAGAACCGACAGAGTATGCAAAAGCAGTGCGAAAAGCTTTAGTGGTTGAGGCTGAGAGTAAGGACAACAAGGCTATCAGGGAGTCCTACAAGCACAATAGGGGTATGAGTACTTTATCCGAAGGTCAATCAAGTAAGAAGCAGAAGCATGAGCAGTCAGGGTTCAGGGGACAGAAGCCAGTCAGATCTGCACCCACAGCTTCAGTGTCCATGGGGTCTTCTAGACCGAATGTTACTTGTTTCAGATACGGGCAGTTGGGACATTACAAGTCTCAATGCACTCAGACACAGGTAGCTCAGATGATTTGTTTCAAGTGTGGGCAGCCAGGGCATCATAAGTCCCAGTGTACTCAGATTCAGGTAGTGTTTGATGGATGTTTCGGGTGTGGCCAGCAGGGCCATAGGGTGAAAGATTGTCCACAGCGGGGCAGTGGTTTGGGCAGAGGTGGAGGTTCACAGCAGAGGCAGATGCAGTCTGCCACAGTTCAGTCAAGGTTTCGACCACCACCACCTCAGCCGTCTCAGCCAGCTATATCAGCCAAGAGTTCTCGACCTAGTAGGGGAGCTTCTTCGAGTGCACCTACTCAGCAGTCTGGCTATCAGGCAGGCAGTTCCCAGGGGCAGAGGACCCAGGGTCGCGTGTTTGCACTCACTCTAGCCGAGTCACCATCCAGTCCTTCAGTTGTTAGGGGTATGTTTCTTGTGTCCCATTCTTGGGCTCGTGTATTGTTTGATTCCGGTGCTTCTTATTCATTCATTGCTTCATCATTTGCACGGGCATTGGGTTTAGAGGTCAGTCAGTTAGACAGACCGCTTTGTGTTGACACACCTATCGGGGGTTCAATTGCTCTTAGTAGAGTTTGTAGGAGTTGTTCCATCACAATTGCCGGACGTGTTCTTGAGTTTGATCTCATCCTTCTCGAGATGACGGGATTTGACGTCATTCTTGGGATAGACTGGTTGTCATCCTTTAGAGCTGTCATTGATTGTTTCAGGGGCAGAGTTTCAGTGTGTACCCCGGATGGGGATTGTTTCTGTTTTGTGGGAGATCGGTGTGATCCTCTCACCCATTCATTTTATGGTGTTAGGGGTCGAGAGCGGCAGACATTCTTCTTTGCTAGTCTTTTCACCGATAATGACGTTGAGTTTTATGGGGTTGATTATCCAGCGGATGTACGTGATTTTCTGGATGTGTTTCCGGATGACTTGACTGAGTTGCCTCCACACCGAGAGGTAGAATTTGCTATTGATTTGATGCCTGGTACCGCGCCAATCTCTATGGCACCGTATCGTATGGCACTGATTGAATTAGAAGAATTGAAGAAGAAACTTGATGATTTGAGGATGAAAGGCTTTATCCGACCGAGTGTGTCACCGTGGGGTGCACCGGTCTTGTTCACTAAGAAGAAAGATGGTTCTTTGAGGTTGTGCATTGATTACCGAAAGTTGAATCATGCCACCATCAAGAACAAGTATCCTTTACCAAGGATAGATGATTTATCTGATCAGTTGAGGGGAGCCAGTTGTTTTTCGAAGATTGACTTGAGGTCTGGCTATTATCAGTTACGGGTTAGAGAGGAGGATATTCCAAAGACCGCGTTTCGTACGCGGTATGGACATTACGAGTTTCTTGTTATGCCTTTTGGTTTAACCAATGCACCGGTAGCATTCATGGATTTAATGAACCGTGTCTTCCACGATTACTTGGATCAGTTTGTGGTAGTTTTCGTGGATGATATTCTTGTGTATTCACGGACTCGGGAGGAGCACGAGGTCCATTTGAGTATAGTGTTGCAGATTCTACGGGAGCACCGTTTGTACGCCAAGGATGAAAAGTGTGAGTTTTGGCTGCAAAAGGTGAAATTTTTGGGACATGTTGTCTCGAAAGGTGGGGTTTTGTTGATCCTTCAAAAATAGAGGTAGTTTTGAGTTGGGAGCAACCCAAGAATGTCTTTGAGATCCGGAGTTTCCTTGGCCTAGCGGGTTATTATCGGAGATTTGTGAAGGATTTTTCCCGTTTGGCAGCTCCTATGACTAGATTGACTAGGAAAGGGATCAAGTTTGCATGGAATGAGGCCTGTGAGTCATCCTTTCAAGAGTTGAAAACAAGGTTGACTACGGCTCCGGTGTTGGTGATACCTGAGCGTGGCTTAGGTTATGTGATTTATTGTGACGCCTAACGTGATGGTTTGGGTTGTGTACTGATGCAAGATGATAGAGTAGTGGCTTATGGGTCTCAACAGTTGAAGACTCACGAGCTTAACTACCCTACTCATGACTTAGAGTTAGCGGCAGTTGTATTTGCTTTGAAGTGTTGGAGACACTATTTGTATGGTGGGAGATTTGAGGTGTTCTTGAACCACAAGAGTCTCAAGTACCTTTTCTCCCAAAAGGACTTAAATAACAGACAGAGGCGATGGGTTGAATTCTTAGAAGACTATAACTTTGATTTGCAGTATCATCCTGGCAAGGCAAATGTGGTAGCTGATGCTTTAAGCTGGAAATCTCGTGGGACTTTGGCTAGTTTAGCCATTCGGAAATGGAAGATGCTGAAAGATTTGGCTGAAATGGGATTATATTGTTTTGATGATCATGATGATGCCAGTGAGTCAGCATTCTTGTTTACTCTCGTGGCTTAACCCACTCTTGTTAGATGGGTGATTGAGTCACAGAGACAGGATTCAAATTTGGATGCCATTTACACTTTGATCTCCAGTGGCGAGACCGTGAAGGATTGAACCTTACATGCAGATGGAGGTCTACGGTTTAAAGGTTTGTTGGTTGTTCCTACAGTTTGTCGTGAGGACGTCTTACGGGAGTTTCATACTTCCCGCTTTGCAGTTCATCCAGGTGGTACCAAAATGTATCACAATCTGAGACGTCAGTATTAGTGGAATGGAATGAAGAAGGATGTTGCACAGTTTGTAGCTAAGTGCCTTACCTGTCAGCAGGTGAAGGCCGAGCACCAGAGACCAGCTGGTTTATTGCAGCCGTTGCCGGTAACGCAGTGGAAATGGGAGGAGATTGCAATGGATTTTGTGACAGGTCTTCCTAGGTCACGGAGGGGAAATGAAGCCGTATGGGTCATTATCGATAGATTGACCAAGACGGCTCACTTCTTGCCTATTGAGGCAACAGATGACGCTGAGACACTCGGTGTACTTTATGTGAAAGAGATTATGAGATTGCATGGAATTCCAGTGGCTATTGTGTCGGATAGGGATGCTAAGTTCACCTCGAAGTTCTGGGAAGGACTTTAAGCAACGTTTGGCTCAGCGTTGCACCTTAGTACTGCATTTCATCCATAGACGGACGGCCAGTTGGAGCGTACCATCCAGATCTTGGAGGATATGCTTCGAGCCTGTGTACTTGACTTGTGTGGTAGTTGGGAGGATCACCTTTCACTTATTGAGTTTGCCTACAACAATAGTTAACAGGCGAGTATTCAGATGGATCCATCTGAGGCGTTGTATGGTAGACCTTGTAGGTCTCATGTCTGTTGGACTGAGGTGGGCGAGACAACTGCCTTAGGACCCGACATTGTACTCGAGACTACCGAGAAGATTAAGCTGATCAGACAGAGATTGCTTACAGCTCAGAGCCGACAGAAGAGTTATGCAGATAGGCGGAGATGACCGCTATCCTTTGAGGTGGGAGACCATGTTTTTCTTCGGGTTTCTCCAAGGAAGGGGTTGATGAGGTTCGGGAAGAGTGGCAAGTTATCGCCACGATTTATTGGACATTTTGAGATCTTGGACCGCGTAGGAGAGGTTGCCTACAGACTAGCATTGCCACCACAGATGGACAGGGTTCATAATGTCTTTCATGTGTCAATGCTACGGAAGTACGAGCCAGATCCGTCTCATATTTTGAGTTGGGTTGATGTGGACATTGATGAGGATGTTTCCTACGAAGAGGGACCAGTTCAGATTCTTGACACACAACAGAAGGTGTTAATGAAAAAGACGATATCGTTGGTAAAGGTTCTTTGGAAGTATCATGGAGTTGAGGAGGCTACTTGGGAGCTCGAACAGGAGATTCGCTCCAAGTATCCAGAGTTGTTTTCTCCCTCAGGTATGGCCTGATTTCGGGGACGAAATCTTTTAAAGTTGGGGAGAATGTAATGTTGTGATATATATGTATATATATATATATAATTAATGTTAAAAGAAAAAGAAATAAAATAAGTGGGCCCCACCACTATATTAAAAACATCAAAAAGGCCATAAGGCCATTACAGATACACATTTTAATTCTCTTTCTCGGCAATTTCCATGTTCTCTCTCTGGAATATTTGTTTTATTTTTGCTTTCACCATTCAAAGCTTGATCTAGCTCTATTCCTTTGAAATTTGGTAGAATATTGTGAAGCAAAATTGTTGAGCTCGTCGAGGCCGTCAATTTGATAGGAACCAATCATCATTTGGTGCACTCCAAGGAGTTCGAAATTCTAGGGTTCTTGGGCTCAAATTGGGGGTTTTCATCAATTTGAGGTAGGGGTGTTCTAATCTACAATTTCTTGGCCTTTGGTGAATTTTTCCCCTTAAATTTGATTCTAAGTATGCTAAATTTTAATTACTTAGCTTGTTATTGTTGTAGTTCTTTGTAATTACAATGATAATTGTACTCCTTGTGTTATTTGAGTTCATATACATGTCTATTTTTATTACGGTAAATGAGCATGCTTAGTGTTTAATGTGTTGTATGTTTCCATGATTATTTATTTATTTATTGTCTTGAAGAAAAATGGATGCTATGGTTATAAATAAATAAAGGAAAGGAATGTTAAGAAATTTTCATTAAATTGCGATGATAATGTAAATGGAAATATGTGAAAACATATAGTTAAATTAATGATTTGAAGCATGAAGTATTCATGCATCCATTGGGAAAGAGAAAGGAGGAAAAATTTATTGTTAGAACAAATAAAATTGTTTTGGGGAAAATATTTTCTAAAAGTGTTGCAAAAACCGGACGCCTAGGAGGCGCCTAGTGGTCCGTGATGTTGGTGTAATCTAGAAGGGAATATAGTTGAGTTAACTAGGTCGGGTGCGACGCCCTGGAGGTGCCTTGTGGTCGTGGATAGTTAGCCAACCTTCCTTTCGTGACGCCATGGAGGTGCCTTGGGTCGGACTATACTAACGGTTTGGTTGTTGAAACGGAATTGTTTCTGAAATGGGGAGTGACATTTGCATAACATTGCACTTCATGACATCGTGGTAAATTTGTGATTGGTTGATATTTGTTATATACTTGTTATTGTGGTTGAAAATGGGTGTTTTCCGATAGCATGATCACGTTCACTTTTTATCTATTCATTGTATGGATTCACGGGGACATAAGAAGTGTGTCTTAGACACTTCCTACTGAGCTTATGCTCACCCCCTTATTTTGAACATTTTTTTTCAGGATATGGAAAAGAGGTGGCGGACGACGGTCCACCACAGGTTTAAATGAGCTTGAAGACCCATTCTATTTTGTTATCTTTTGTATTAAACTCTAATATTTTGTAAATGTAATATTAACTACCTTGTGACACTTTAGTTTAATTAGTATAATGTTGTAAGCTATGAACTTTTAATTCTAGCTACATTTTATGGACTATAATTTGATATAACTTAAGTGGGTTCCATGTTTTTGTATGTATGTAACCATTTTGGGAATGTAGTATAATATCTGAATTGTGCGTTGGGACGGGATAAGTTAGATATAAGGCCCAGTGAGGCCACTGCATTTATTTTTTGTATTTCAACAGGTTGTTAAGGAACATTTTCTGCGGAAGTCATGCCGAAATTTTTATAGATTTTTATTATTATTTTGGTATCTTTTCGAGTCGTTACATATGACTCCACTCTTATCAGATCCAACTGGCATAGGAGTGGTAGGAGCAAATTGTGTAGACTGCTGCCCCTGAAACTGAGATGAACCACCCATGTTCCTCTTCCAAGAAGATCCTTCCGAAGATGGCCTGCACCCCTCTTTTGTTTCCACTGTTCCCTCCTTGCATTTTTATCTTTGATATCAACCTCAAGCATCAAAGCCCTTTCCACTGCTTCAGAATAAACTTTGCTAAACTGTGCCATTATAAACGGCCTCATTCGGCCATTAAGACCGGAAACAAACTTTCGAGTCTTGTCAACTTCATATCTCACCATTTCCAAAGGAAAGCGAGAAAGTGAAGTGAATTTGTTCTCATACTCTGCCACTGACATGTTACCTTGGATAAGGCCAAGAAACTGGTCTTTTAGCTCCCATCTTTTAGAAATCAAAAAATACTTTTCATAGAATAGTTCCTTGAACTTGTCCCAGATCATCTCTTCCACCTTATGCCGATTCGTAACCGTCTTCCACCAAAGTTTGGCATCCTTAGCAAACTTGTAAGTTGCTAGGATGATCTTCAGGTGATCCTTTTTCACATCCATTAAGGTCAACTGAGTTTCAACTTGATCCATGTAGTCGTCTGCTACTATTGTATCCGCACCGCCCTCAAATATTACTGGCAACAACTGAGAAAATCCCTTAATGATCTTGAGACGCTTCTGAGCTGGCGTCTCCTCAACTTGAACTCTAGGTTATGGTGCCGACTGCGACTGAGCAGCAATCGTTGCCCTCACGGCACTTTACAACAAACGATTCAACTCTAGTGCCACAGAACCTTTACCCACTTCTACAGGTACTTCAACTTTATCCCTCCTTATGGGGACAACTCTCGGGGGAATCAAGTCCCTAAGAAGTGTGTCCTCATCATTTAGCTCCTCCGAATTGGAGCTAGAGCTCTCGCCAACATCACCCCTAATCGGACTAGGAATAACTTCCCTGGTCTCCTCACGCCGTGACACCGTGCTATAAAACGAGGAAACGGTTCAAAAACATGACACTAAGGTCCATCTTGGATGACTCAACATGAAATGATGTTGTAACGACACTAAGCATGCAAAACAATACAAGAAACATTGTAACATGAACATTTAAGCACGTAAGCACATAAGCAGTTAATCATGCTTCTTCAAATAACAAGCAAGTACCAAATAGTCAAATAAACAACACAAATAACATTCCATGCAATCCCATGTAGGCCTCTACCCATCGTCCTATAGGTTTTCGAACCTAAGGCTCTAATACCATACCTGTAACGACCCAAATCCGTGGATCCAAACCGTTACTCAGGTCCTTACTCGAACCCGAGGTCATCTACGTCAAACCTAACATTCCAAGTGTCAAAACGTGCTTATCCGGATCAAAATCAAACTTTCCCAAAGCTCTAAGCAACCCAAGGGTCAAGAGTAAGCTACAAGGAAGAAGGAGAGATAAGACCCCAAAACAGGCTCATTTCGGTCAATCGAAGTGGAGCTTCGGTCAACCGAAGCAAGCCTTCCTGAACCGGTCGACTGACACACTACTTCGGTCGACCGAAATGGAGATCCCGAGAGTCCACAAAGAGGTTCGGTCGACCGATGAGCCATTTCGGTCGACCGAAGTGGCTTCTTCGAGCCCTGCATCTTGATCTGACCTACTACCTTATAAATGAACTAAAAATGAAAGGGAAGCTAATATGGAAACTTTACATCATAGACAACTTACATCAAAATGGATTGTCAAGCTTCTAATTATATCATCCGTTACATAACCAATGAATTTGATACATTTTACATCATATGCTTTACAAAACAAGTTCAAATTCAACAAAATACGTTCAAAATGCCCTTCAAGTTCTCTCAAGCCTGTGGTGGATTTTCATCCGCCAATTCCTTGCCGTGACCTGAAAAAAATGTAATATATATATTGGGGTGAGCAAATTGCTCAGTAAAAGGCACTTAAGACACGCCTCTTGTGTCCCCGTGAATCCTTATAAGGAATAGAACAATAGGAGATAGGGATCATACAATATCGGGGTAATACACAACATAACAATAATTCTCAATATAACCAAATGCAATGCAATGAGATGCAATGCATGCCAATGTCGCTCCCCGTTTTCATTCCAAAACCATCACTTTCAAACGGTTAATATAACCCGCCCTTTGGTGACCCCGCAGTGACACAAGAAAAGGATTGGCTAGTGTCCTTGACTCTTGGTACCCCCGCGACGTCATTATGGGCCCAGCTAGCTCAACCATGTTAGGGCGACTCCCTAGTTCCCTCTAGGTTATATTAACCCTCCGGCCCTTTGGTACCCCTGCGGTGACCAAGTTTTCATAAAACAGTTTCATCAAAACTCTTTCCCAAAAGTCCCATTTTTCCTTTCAAAACAATTCACTTTATGCAAGCCCAATGTTATGCATATGAATCTGATGCTTTCATTACAATAATACTAAGAGATTTCTCACAACATGATTAAGCATGTTCTCATACATCATTTATTGCATATTAACAACATAGTAAACATAAAAACTCATATACAAGCATGCTCATCATACAAATTAAATTAATACAAATCCTCATACATTCATACATGTTCCATCAAGTCAAAGTAATTATAATCACTACAATTAAGCATGCTAGTACATAAAATCAAGTAGATTAACTTACTAAAGCACAAGACTTTGTGGATTAAGGACCCCTACTCAAGTTTGATGCAAAACCCTTAAAATGGGTCTCCAAATTCGAAATCCCTAGGGAGGTTTAAAGCTGAAATTGGTGGTACTCACGCGTAGAGCTCGTCGTGTTCTTCGTTTTGCCTCAAACGGCACTCTAAAATTCAAAGTATTGAAGGAGTAATCAAGATTTGAAGTTAAAGGAAAAAGAAAAGAAAAAGAATGAGAGAATGAGGGGATTACAGAAGAGAGAAAATGAGACCATATATGTGTGGTCTCTAAACCACATTAAGAAATGGTGGTGAGTCCCAGCACCAACTTTTGACTTTTCCTTCTCTTTCACTTTAATTCCACACCACACACATATGTAATACATCACCAAAAAAAATGCTACATAAATCTCATAAAATAAAATATATGAAATGCAAGTGGACTTAACCAAAACCCCATACGCAAAACGTGAAAAGACGAAAATGCCCTCGCGGTAACAAAATTCCAGAAAAAAAAAAAAAAAAGCTGAAATTTAGAAACGTCACATCATAGCTATAAAATATGTCAAAACAGTCCAGTAACCCGTCAAAACCCATGGAGGAGCGTCGCCTGCCACTTCCCTTCCGTATCCTAAAAAAATGTTAAATAATGAGGTGAACTAAACGCTTAGTAGGAGGTGCCTAAGACACACCTTTTATGACCCCATGAATCCATATAGAGAATAGAAAGCATAAGAACGATATCATATCTCGGGAGTCGAGTAAAACCACTATATCATCAACAAATACACATATATCAACCAACTACCAAATGCACCAAGTATGCCAATGGTGTGCCATGCCATGCCATGTCACTCCCTGTTTCCGAAACAATACCGTTTCAACTTTCAAGCCGTTAGTGTATTCTGACCCAAGGCGCCTCAAAAGCGTCACAAAAGGAGGATTGACTAACTATCCACGACCACAAAGCACCTCTAAGGCGTCGCATCCAACCTAGTTAACTTAATCCCTAGTCTTCTCTAGAATACACTAACACCACGAACCACTAAGCCCTTCCTAGGCGTCCGGTTTTCACAAACACTTTCCAAAACAAATATTTCAAAATTATTTCATTTCATTTCAAAACAAATTTTCCCTTTCTTGCCCAATGCAATGCATGAATGCTTCATACTTTGATTACCATACCATGTCAAGTTCACAATTCTATACAATTCATCTATATCTCATTTGCATGTTTTTGGAAAAATTAAATTAATAAACTTTCAATTAACAATTTTGACAACATAGTATTTGACATTCAAGCATTCAAGTGCATATAATCAAAATCAATAAATAATACAAACAATTTCTATCACTTTCAACACATTTACACCTTGTCATGCTCATTATTCATAAAATGTCTATTATCATAAACAATACTCATAATTTAGTAAACAACTTAACAACTTTTATAAGAAAACTCACAAAAGTCAAAGAAAATTGTGAATTAGAAACCCCTACCTCCAAAAATTGGAAAAACCCCCAATTTGCTGAATCTAAACCCTAGAATTCAAAATTCTTAGGGTGCACTAAAACCACCTCTGCTCCAATCAAATCGAAGATCTTGACGCGCTCTCCGTTTTGCCGCAAACGGCTCCCAAAAATATCAAAAATTGAGGGAGAAATCTAACTTTATAATAGAGAAAGAAAAAGAAAAGGAAAAAGAAACTGATACACAGAGGAAGAAATAAATTATGCAAGAAAAGGAAGAAGCAATATGGTATGGCAACGACCATGTGGTCATTAAAATGACCAAAAGCATATGTGGGTCTCATAGAATAAAATAAATAAAAAAATCTTTTTTTTCATTATATATATATATATGTGTGTGTGTGCATACACTAAACCCACCACAACACATGTTTAAACACAATCACATAAAATACATCAAATAATAATGCATAATATGCAATGGACCCGGGAAAAAAAAAATCCCTGTACTCAACAACTCTTGTAGTAGGTCCCACCTGGGACTTCTTAGCCCCAAAAAACGGAAAAATGCCGAAATGACAAACTAGTGCATTTTCTAAGAGTAGTGAATTCAAGGAAATGCCCAAACCAACTCTCAAACACACGCGGCACACCCCATGGTGTCCAGCACGCAAAACGAAAAAAAAAAACTCACAAAATAAAAAAAATGGAAATATTACAAAATCATAGATATCTAGAGAGAAGATGAGAGTTATTTTTATTTGTCTGTGTGAATCTGGATTCCCTAAGTCCTGTGTCTTGGTCCTCTGTGTTTTGCAGAATCATGCTAGTCTGGAATAAAGGTAACAAGAAGTCATATATTCTAGTATGGGGCTTTTGATTTTTGATAGCATCGACCCCATCTTTGAAAGAAAAAAATGTGTGTTGAAAATGAGACACCTGCTGCTTTCTGAAGCCTCTCATTTGAGATTCTTATCCTATTGTTAGAAATTTCCAAATAGATTCGACATTACTTTTGCACAAACTCAGAATTAAATACCAGAAACCAAAATGCTGACTGCTGCTTAATCATAATTCATTTATACCTTTATAATCACTCAGTTACTGTCAATATATATTTTTGAGTCCATAATACACTTGAGACTCTTTCCCTTTCATTTGATCAAATTAAAATGGGGACCTTTGCTTTCTTCATCCTCTCTCACTCTTTGATTTCTTCCCTTACGTATATAAAATTCTGCTTTGCATTTAACAAAATAACTTCAAACCAATCCATCAGTGATGGACAAATTTTAGTTTCCTCAGGTCAAAGATTTGAGCTGGGCTTCTTCTCTCCTGGCAATAACAAAAATAGGTATCTGGGAATATGGTACAAGAATGCTCCACATATAGCTGTGTGGGTTGCTAACAGAAATAGCCCAATTACAGATTCAAGTGGAGTTTTAACCATCACCAACAATGCAACACTTGTTCTTCACAACCGAATGAAGAGCCCAATCTGGTCTTCGAATACATCAAGAGTAGCTGAAAGCCCCTTTGTGCAGCTATTAGATACTGGAAACCTTGTTATCATGGACAAGACTAGGCGGAGCACAGAAAGCTATATATGGCAGAGCTTTGATTTTCCATCTGACACAAGGTTACCGGATATGAAGATAGGAAAGGAATCCGATGATGATCTGGAGCGATATCTGGTGTCGTGGAAAAGTGCTGATGATCCATCTCCAGGAGCTTTCACATACAGAATTGATGATAATCATGGACTGCCTCAGTTGGTTATACTCGGGGGATCAGCAAAGACATACCGCACTGGGCCTTGGAATGGAATTCAATTCAGTAGTTTTACTAGATTCATAAATCTAGCTTATTCACCAGTTTTTGTTTACAACAAGGACAACTCGTATTATGTGTATGAGCCGTACAATTACACAGCTTTTACGAGGCTAACTTTGAATCAGTCAGGCTTTCTTCAACGTTATAGACTGAATGAAAGAAGCAATGAATGGTCTCTCTTGTATACATTACCAAAGGACCAGTGTGACAGTTATAGGCAGTGTGGTGCTAATGGTATTTGCAGAATTCAGAAAGCACCAGTATGTGAGTGTTTGAATGGGTTCACTCCCAAATTACAAGAAGATTGGCAAATGCAAGACTGGTCAAGTGGATGCATGAGGAGGACGGCACTGGATTGCCAGAGTGAAGAGGGCTTTTTGAAAGTTGAGAAGGTGAAACTGCCCGATCTTTTGGATCAGTTCTGGTTAAACAAGAGTATGAGCCTCAGGGAGTGCAAGGCAGAGTGCTTGAAAAACTGTTCTTGCGTGGCTTATGCTAATTCAAACATTAGTGAAGGAGGCAGTGGCTGCTTGATGTGGTTTGGAGATCTAATTGATATTAGAGAGTTCACTGGAGAAGGTAACGATTATGATATCTATATCCGGTTAGCAGCCTCTGAACTAGGTAAGTGTATATTTTTGATACTCTATAATGATGATATTTCCCCTTCACTTTCAAACTATTTCAGGGTTGAGCCAAAAAGCCTTAGACCATTATTATTGCATGATTATTTTTAGTTGCAGAAAGTTTTTAACTGTATCAGCTACTTTCTTGAATCACTGTTCCTACACTATGTAGTGGTAGAGTCCAAATTAATATGGTTACAAACAAGTAAAAGGGCAAGAATAAAAACTGCAGCCCAACTTTAATGGTATGTTCTGATATATTTACTGAAAAATAATTTTGTAAAATGAAGTAGTACTAATATGTTCTGTTCTTGTTTCTGTTCTAGAATCAATCCATAATTCAAATAAGAAGAATAAACTGGTGATTATTCTTGTGGTATCTTCCCTTTCTGGACTGCTTATAATGGGCATGGTACTATGGTGCGGCATATGGAAGAAGAGGATTAAGAGAAAAGGTTAGCATACACATCATCTCTGCCTACATTTGTTTGAAAGAGTTTTATTGTTAAGCTTGTCAGTGACAGTTTACAGAAAGATTATAGTTGAATGCTTTTTCTAAACAAAATTATTTACCCTTTTTCTAGGTGAAGACTGGGAGTTACCTTTAGTTGATTTCTCCACCATTGTTACGGCTACTAACAACTTTTCCCTTGCAAATATGCTCGGAGAGGGAGGCTTTGGTCCAGTTTACAAGGTTAATTGGGTCACATTTAGTCATTCAATCATCTCCTAAAGAAAGTATATATGTGTCATCACTATGCATCTTGCACAATCAAAAAATTAACTGCATCTTGCGTAATCAAAATATTAACTGCATCTTGTATATAAAAATTGCAGGCAAATCTTTCAAATGGACAAGAAATAGCAGTGAAGAGGCTGTCCAGGAATTCCAGACAGGGTCTTGAGGAATTTAAGAATGAGGTCACTTTGATAGCCAAACTTCAGCATAGAAATCTTGTGAGGCTTCTGGGCTGCTGCATTCAAAAAGAAGAAAGGATGTTAATCTATGAGTATATGTCCAACAAAAGCTTGGATTATTTTATTTTTGGTATGAGACTGTTAATTAGTCCCCTATCTGCTCAATCAATATTATCACTTTAATTAAGCTATTTCTTTATAATTCATTTTATGCTTGATTTCATGTGGGATTTACGATAGTTGGAAGTGGATGTGCAGATCAAGATCGCAGTGCATTATTGCCATGGGGAAAGCGCTTTAACATTTTTATGGGGATTGCGCGAGGACTTCTCTACCTCCACCAAGATTCAAGATTAAGAATTATTCACAGGGATCTAAAAACTAGCAATATATTGCTAGACAGTGAAATGAACCCAAAAATTTCTGACTTTGGATTAGCAAGAAATTTTGAGAGTGACCAAATTTATGCAAAAACAAGAAGAGTTATTGGAACACAGTAAGTTATTATATAAACTAAAATCAAAACTCTGTTATATTTTATCTTTTCAAAATTTCATATGAGATACCATTTATTCAGTGGCTATATGTCCCCCGAGTATGTAGTTCATGGGAAGTTTTCTATGAAATCCGATGTCTTCAGCTTTGGTGTGCTCTTATTAGAGATAGTGAGTGGCAGAAGGAACAGAGGGTTTTTTCATTCAAAGCACAACCATAACTTGTTGGGACATGTAAGCAACTCTCTCTCTCTCTTTCTCTCTCTCACACACACACAGACACGGCGGCTAGCTCCTGAACTCTTGCAATTATGGATGCCTTTTTCTGTGAATGGCTATATGCATTTTTTTTTGGTTAAGTTGTGAATGGCTATAAGCACAAGGATTGCAATTGTCTTAGGCATGGATACTGTGGCATGAAGATAAGGGCTTGGAACTGATGGATGCATGTTTGAAGGATTCATGTGTTGAATCGTCTCAAGTGCTGAGATGTATTCAAGTCGGTCTCTTATGTGTGCAAAAACTCTCCGAAGACAGGCCACCAATGTCATCTGTAGTTTCCATGTTGGGTAACGAAGGATCAACAATACCTCAACCAAAGCAGCCCGGTTTTTTCACGGAAAGTTCCAGTACTGATGATGAAGTTGAATCTAAAGATATAGGGTCCCACACAAATGATACAGCAACTATAACAATGCTGGAACCTAGATAGATTATTCATGTAAAATAATAATTCAACCATAACGTTTTGTAATATTGAGACGGTAATGCGACATCAGGCACTGTATCTTATTTATCTCTTATTGTTTGTATTTTTGCATTAATCTTCAACGCTCTTTGTTGTTTAACAAATCAATGTCCCCATATTAACTTTTTAATGGTTATAACGAAATTAATTTGATCAATATGACATTTGCGCACACACATTTGCCGTTAACACTAGTACCTGCATATATCATCCACCTTCGCATGGTTGACCATCTTGGTTGGAGAACTTTGAAATGCCTCCTCAAACCCCACCACCCACCCCCACACACCGGACTCACATATGTCACACATATATATGCATAGAATTCCTCCACGTCATACATAAATCCTTTTGACCGGAGTTGAACTGAAATTGATTACAACAGCTCTACCAATTTGTGGTGAGGTTTGTAAGTACTTGCTGTCGTTTGTTGACTTGAGAAAGGTTTGTCAAAAATATCTTATTTTCTTATGCAGAGATGAAACTGAATGAGCATTAATGTCATGTTTTGCAAAACTGAATTAGAATTTTGAATACGAGTTTTAAAAAAATTTAGTACAAAGTTTGAATTAAATTTGTTCTCATTCCAAATTTAAAGCATCAATTCAATACTCCCAAATACGACATAAATTGTTTTAGTTTTGCTCCTTTAATTTTCGAGAGGGAAAGACTAAGAGCAGTAAATGGAGGGACTTCCTGTTAGAGTTGCTCTGCACAATCAACCGATTTTGATACCAGTTGTTGTGGCAGAAACGCAAAATAAATAACGTTATTCAAGGAATAAATAAGTAATCACGAAGAATAAAAAAAAAAAAAATCACACACAAGAACACAAAATATACATGATTCACCCAAATCTTAGGGTTACATCCATGGAGCACACTGAAAAAATTCACTATGAAGAAGATGAAGAATTACAATTGAGAATTTTCTCTCAATCTCTTTCAATTACTCTCTCTTGTATTGGTACAAATTTATCTCTAACTTTCACACACTCTAAAATCTGATTAACTTTCACACACTCTAAAATCTTATTAGAGTTGATATTTATAGAGTCTCAAATTTGTCCTATAAGAACTTGTGTTTTGTAGAATTCAAAACCAATAAGAAAGTTAAATCAGATCAGAAAACTGAATTTTCCCTAAACTTCAGCAGTCTTGAAGTTTCCATATAACTAAATTATAATGTTTTCAAATTTTACCATTTTTTATTTTCTAAAATTTTTTTATTTTTCAAGGGTATTTTCGTCTTTTCTCGTTTTACGTGCCGGATGTCCGGTTGTGTCCGAGTATTGGTTGGGACATTTCATTGTATTCAGGACTCTTTGAAATGTAAGGTTTGTTATTTTTACATTTTTCTATTTTTCGAGCCGAGAGGTCCCGTGCGGAACCCGCTACCGGAATTATCGTGTACGGGGGTGTTGTTTAGGTTTATTTACATCACATTTAGTTTATTTAATGTGTTATATATGGTGGAGAATTGTTATGTGTGTGTGTGTGTGTGTGTATATATATATATATATATATATATATATAATTGTGGTGTAAAAATAAAAAGAAAAAGAAATTTTTTTTTAATTAAAAGTGGTAGAACCCACCACTTATACAAATTGTGGCCAAAAGGCCACGTTGGCCTCACATTTTCACTCACTCCCGTAAGCTCTTTATCTCTCCCCCTTCTTGATCCATTTTCTTTTTCTTTTCAAAACAAAAATTTAATCATTGATTTCTCCTTCATCTTTTGGTATTTTTGGAAGCCGTTTGCGGCAAAACGAAGAGCGCGTCGAGGTCTACGATTTGATCGAAGAAAAAGTGGTTTTGGTGCACTATAGGGATTTCAAATTTATGACCCATTTTGAGGATTTTTCTACAAAATTGAGGTAGGGATTTCTAATTCACATTTTCTTAGATTTTAGTGAATTATCTTTTATTAATTGTTGTAAAGTATGCCTAACTTTTGTGGATTCTTGCAAAGATGACTTAATTGTTATACAAGTGATATGTGGTTATGTGTTAATTGTTATTTGAGGAGAAAGCTTGCTTAAATGATATATATAAGAAATGTGATTATGTGTTAGTTGATATTTTGTATATAAGCATGCCTATGTGGAATAGAATTTGTGTCTTGTATGTTTACTATGTTAAATCAAAGTTGAATGAAAGCATGAATTACACATTTTGAAATTTATTATGGAAAGCATGTGTGAAATTCAAAAGTTGAATTGTTTTAGAAGTATGAAGCATTCATGCATTCATTGGGAAAGAAAAAGAAAGGGAAAAGTGTTTTTTGAAGTAAATGAAATCGTTTTGAGAAAATTATTTTCGGAAAGTGTTTGCGAAAATTGGACGCCTAGAAAGCACCTAGTGGTTCGTGGTGTTGGTGTAGTCTAGAGGGGATTAGAGATTAAGCTAACTAGGCCGAATGCGACGCCTTAGAGGTGCCTTATGGTCGCTGATAGTTAGCCAATCCTCCCTTCGTGACACCTTGGAGGTGCCTTGGGTCGGAATGTATTAATGGTTTGGAAGTTGAAACGGTAATGTTTCGGAAAATGGGGAGCGACATGGATATGGCATTGCACTTCATTGGCATACATGGTATAATTGTGACTTGAATGACAGTTGTGGTTATATTTGACGTTGTGGTTATAGGATATATCACCAGTATAGTATAATTCCGTTCTCTTGATTTCTATTCTATACGTAGATTCACTGGGTCATAAGAGGTGTGTCTTAGGTACCTCCTACTGAGCGTTTAGCTCACCCCATTATTTAATATTTTTCAGGATATGGGAAGGAAGTGACGGACGACGCTCCTCCACGGGTCTTGATGAGTTAGTGGACTGTTTTGACATACTTTGTAGTTATGATCTCATTTAATTATTATTATTATTTTTTTATAAATCCTAGAATAACATGTATAATATGCATTGATATAAGAAAGGACAGTAATATCCTTAGTTGACCTCGGGTTCGGGTAAAGTCCCGATTAGCGATTCGAACCCACGGGTTCGAGTCGTTACATAAATCTTCCTAAAAACAAATTACCTAATCAGACTCCACAAAACCACAACACTTCCCTAGCTCTTTTTTTGCTACTAATTTCATACTTGTTGAACACTTCAATTGCAGCCTGACACATTAACATCTACCCAATCTGACACATTAATGACAATTGAATAAATCAGAGATTAGTTTGTAAACAAGACAGAAATTAGTAAAGAAAAATCAACAATAATGTTTGAATTCCTGTTGAAGAGCTTCTTCTAACAAAAATTCAGATTGATCCATCAAATCAGGGCTTAATCTGAACATGAGAATGCTGAACTCCATCTGATCGTCGTCCGTCAAGTCCTGCAAACCCAACAAGGCAGAGTTCCTCTTGAGGCTCTCGAACGTGATGACCCCTTTTATCACCGTCCAGAATATGCTGTTGATGGCAACTTTTCAGTTAAGTTAGATGGGACTTGGCTTTTAAATTTATAAATTGGGCCTAAATCGGGTTGGGATCTTTCAAAGCCCATACAATTCAGGTTAGGTTCGGGCTCAACCCGAATCCAACCCAAAATTTAAAAAAACTTCCATTTTTTTTTTTTTTCTTTCTTTCTTTTCAGCTTCCAAATCTTTGATATATATGTATCTATATATATATGAATTGTCTGTATGATTTACTAAAAACCTCAATTGGTCATTGATATATATATATACATATATATATATATATATATATATGATTGGAGAAAGAGAAAACCCAAATGCAAACAGGTATCAAAGAATTGCCAGCCCGAATAATTTATAAATAAAAATTTATTTAATAACAAATAAAAAGAAAAAAAGCTTTTTCTTTTTATATTTAAAATAAAATAAGGTAATTTTTTTTTTTTGTATTAATAAAAATAAAATTAGAAAAAATTTAAAAAATAATAATTGAATACTTCACAACTACAATACTAATAGTTTGATAAGATTTAAAAAAAAAATAAATAAATAAATAAATAAATTATTAATGAATTAAAAATATCTGAAAATTTTGAAAAAACTTTCATTTTTTTTTCTTTTTTCTTTTTTCTTTCCTTTCAGATCTTTGACTCAAGAGTTTGGTGTCCCAAGCCCATCCCTGCTTGGGTTGACACGAGGCTTGTTTGCTTGTTTACGAGTGTCACATTATTAAGTTTTTCATCATTTGGATCTGCACAGCCGGCATCTATACATGTGAAGTGTCTATAGTTTTTATATTTTTTATTGAAAACCCTAATCGGTCTTTGACAATATATATATATATATATATATACATATGTGATTGAAGAGAGAGTTGATAAAGAGAAAAACAACATGTGTGTATGTGTGTGTGTGTGAGATTGAAGAGACTATAAATGTAAATAGTAGTGAGGTGGTCGCTGTTTTTTCTCCCCCTCTCTCTCTGATTTGCTCTCCACTAGGATGATTTGTGTTAAGAATTACTTCCGTGTACACGAATTGTCTTAGGATTTTAATCAAAGTGATTTAAAAATAAAAATTTATTTAAAAACAAATAACAAATAAAAAAGAAACAGAAAAAGTTTTTTTTTTTACTTAAAAATAAATTAAAAAAAGCTGGAACAGGTCAACTAGAACATATTCGGGCTTGGGTTACTTCAGAGTCCAGATTTTTTGACATCAGGCTGGCCTAACCCAACCTGACTTAGAATTGAGATTGGGTTGGTACCGGGCTAAGTTGGGCAAGCCCAACTTGCTGCCCTACTTACGACATTATAACTAAGAAAAAAAATTTATATTAGCTAATCTTTAAGACATTATAACTAGAAAAATGATTCTTTCTCAAACTTATTTGAATAAATTTAAGATTTTCTACCCTTTTTATGTCATTACATTGGACCCACTCTTAAACTTATCCACTAAAATAAAAACATGACAAATACGTTCAAATGGCATTACTCAATTCCACTTGTTATCACCATTACTCCATTAGTATTACAACCAGCATTCAATACACTTGTTAATAGTACATTAAATTCCTGACTGCCCAGAAACCTTTGGAGTTTGTCTAGTGCTTGGCTTTTTCCATTTCATCTTCTTTGGATATCTCCATTTATACTTATCATTGTTTTACTGTTGGTGTTAAAGAAGCTCCACACATGTTGATCATAAGTGATGAATAAAGGGCTTCACGGACTGAGTCTCTGTGCTGTGATATATAGTAACAAGGTCATATTATCATCCTCCTATTAATTTAGATCAGTAGCAGTTGTAGGCCATGGTATTTATATGTATGTGTGTGTGTGTGTGTGTGTGTGAGTATATGTTATTAATACAATTCAGTCAACTATATATACACCGTAATTAATAGCATTCTTATTTAAATAATGTTGGAAAATTAGACAAGGAACCCGATTCTTAAGGTCAAGCTCATCACCTTTATTATTAATTTGCTAATTAATGTTTTGTTGAATTATTACACCAACAGGTTATATTTTATCAACAAAACAATTAAAGATATAGATTACAGTTGAATGAATAAAAATCCATGCTACCTCGTCAAAGTTGGTTAATATATACAATTAAAAACAGGAAGCTCGTGTAAAGGCTAAACGGACTGAGAAGTCACTCATGGCATTAATTGATTGTGTATGGTGGGACTTGAATATAAATTAACTAGAAGAAATTTTATTGGCGGGTTCTAACACACAGCTTGAGTACACAGTAATACACGCAAGTACGTACTTGGACACATTACAACACACTCACACCAAAACTTGGAACACAATCAACAGATTCAACACACCTAAGCACTCACTCGCTCACTTATAAGCAGGCTCATTGCATTGCTCTTTTTTGCTACACCAAGTCAGAGGTAATTAGGATAAATCTCATTCACTCAAATAGGTTAATGAGAATTAATAGATATCTAGAGACAAGATGAGAAATATTTTTTTATTTGTCTGCGTGAATCTGGATCCCCCTAAAGTCCTGTGTTTTACAAATCATGCTAGTCTGGAATAAAGGTAAGAACAAGTCATAGTATGGGGCTTTTGACTTTTGATATCATCGACCCCATCATTTGAAATTCTTATCCATTTCCAAATACATTTGACATTTACTTTTGCACAAACTCAGAATTAAATACCAGAAACCAAAATGCTTACTGCTGCTTAATCATAATTCATTTATACCTTTATAATCAATATATTTTTTTGAGTCCATAATAATACAGTTGAGACTCTTTCCCTTTCATTTGATCAATTAAAATGGGGACCTCTGCTTTCTTCATCCTCTCTTGCGTTATGTTCATAAAATTCTGTGTTGCATCTGACACAATAACTTCAAACCAATCCATCAGTGACGGAGAATTTTTAGTTTCCTCAGCTCAAAGATTTGAGCTGGGCTTCTTCTCTCCTGCCAATAACAAAAACGAGTATCTGGGAATATGGTACAAGAAGGATCCACATATAGTTGTGTGGGTTGCTAACAGAAATAGCCCAATTACAGATTCAACTGGAGTTTTGACCATCACCAACAATGCAACACTTGTTCTTCACAACCGAACGAAGACCCAAATCTGGTCTTCCAATATATCAACAGTAGCTGAAAGCCCCTTTGTGCAGCTATTAGACACTGGAAACCTTGTCATCACGGACAAGGCTAGGCGGAGCACAGAAAGCTATATATGGCAGAGCTTTGATTTTCCATCTGACACACGGTTACCGGATATGAAGGCAGGAAAGGAATCCAATGATGATCTGGACCGATATCTGGTGTCGTGGAAAAGTGCTGATGATCCATCTGCGGGAGATTTCCCATACAGAATTGATAATCATGGACTGCCTCAGTTGGTTATACTCGGAGGATCGGCAAAGACCTACCGCACTGGGGCTTGGAATGGACTTAGATTCAGTGGTTTTTCAACATTCTTGAATCCAACTTATTCACCTGTTTTTGTTTATGGCAAGGACAACTCGAATTATGTGTATGAGCCTTATAATTCCTCTGCTATTACGAGACTAACTTTAAATCAGTCAGGCTTTCTTCAACGTTATAGACTGAATGAGAGAAGCAATGAATGGTCTCTCATGTACAAATTGCCAAAAGATGAGTGTGACAGTTATAGGCAGTGCGGTGCTAACGGTATTTGCAGAATTCAGAAATCGCCAATATGTGAGTGTTTGAATGGGTTCACTCCCAAACTACAAGAAGATTGGCAATTGCAAGACTGGTCAAGTGGATGCATAAGAACGACGACGGTACTGGATTGCCAGACTGAAGAGGACTTTTTGAAAGTTGAGAGGGTGAAACTGCCTGATCTTTTGGAGTTCTCGTTAAACAAGAGTATGAGCCTCAGGGAGTGCGAGGCAGAGTGCTTGAAAAACTGTTCTTGTTTGGCTTATGCTAATTCAGACGTTAGGGAAGGAGGCAGTGGCTGCTTGATGTGGTTTGGAAATCTAAGTGATATCAGAGAGTTCATTGGAGAAGGTGATGGGCAAGATATCTATATCCGGCTAGCAGCTTCCGAAATAGGTAAATCTATATATTGAATACTTTATAATGCTATGTATGTCCCCTTCACTTTCAAGCTATTTCGGGGTTGAGCCACAAAAGCCTCAGACCATTATTATTGCATGAATCTGCATAGAGCTTATTTTTAGTTGCAGAACGTTGGTTACTGTATCAGCAACTTAATTGAATCACTTTTCCTCTACTATGTAGTGGAAGGGTTTAAATTATTATGGTTACATACAATTTAAAGGACAAGAGTACCACAAACACACTAACTAACGGCATCCCAAATTTAATGATGAACTTGTAGCTAATCCAGACTAAATAGGATGTGTGGACCTGATATATTTACTGAAAAATAATTTTGCAAAATGTAGTAGTATTCATTGATATGTTCTGTTATTGTTTCTCTTCTAGAATCAATCTGCAATTCAAAAAAAAAGAAAAGACTGGTGATTATTCTTGTGGTATCTATACTTTCTGGAATGCTTATAATGGGCATGGTACGATGGCGCAGCATATGGAAGAAGAGAACTAAGAGAAAAGGTTAGCATACACATCATCTCTGCCTACAATTCTTTGAAAGAGTTTTATTGTTAAGCTCGTGAGTGACAATTCGCAGAAAGATTATAGTCGAATGCTTTTTCTAAACAAATTATTTACCCTTTTCTAGGTGAAGAATGGGAGTTGCCACTAGTTGATTTCTCCACCATTGTTACGGCTACTAACAACTTTTCCCTTGCAAATATGCTCGGAGAGGGAGGCTTTGGTCCTGTTTACAAGGTTAATTGGGTCACATTTAGTCATTCTAAGCATCTTGCGTAATCAAAAAATTAACTGTATCTGTTATATAAAAAATGCAGGCAAATCTTTCAAACGGACAAGAAATAGCAGTGAAGAGGCTGTCCAAGAATTCAAGACAGGGTCTTGAGGAATTTAAGAATGAGGTCGCATTGATAGCCAAACTTCAGCATAGGAATCTTGTGAGGCTTTTGGGCTGCTGCATTCAAAAAGAAGAAAGGATGTTAATCTATGAGTATATGTCCAACAAAAGCTTAGATTATTTTATTTTTGGTATGAGCCTTTTAATTAGTCCTTTATTTGCTCAATCAATATTATCACTTTAATTAAGCTATTTCTTTGCAATTCATTTTATGCTTGATTTCATGTGGGATTTACGATAGTTGGAAGTGGATGTGCAGATAAAGATCGCAGTGCATTATTGCCATGGGGAAAGCGCTTTAACATTTTTATGGGGATTGCACGAGGACTTCTTTACCTCCACCAAGATTCAAGATTAAGAATTATTCACAGGGATTTAAAAACTAGCAATATATTGCTAGACAGTGAAATGAACCCAAAAATTTCTGACTTTGGATTAGCAAGAATTTTTGAAAGTGACCAAATTTATGCAAAAACAAGAAGAGTTATTGGAACACAGTAAGTTACCATATAAACTAAAATCAAAACTCTGTTATATTTCATCTTTTCAAAAATTCATATGAGATATCATTTATGCAGTGGCTATATGTCCCCAGAGTATGTAGTTCACGGCAAGTTTTCTATGAAATCTGATGTCTTTGGCTTTGGTGTTCTCTTATTAGAGATAGTGAGTGGTAGAAGGAACAGAGGGTTTTCTCATCCAAAGCACAACCATAACTTGTTGGGACATGTAAGCAACTCACTCTCTCTCTCTCTCTCACACACACACACACAGACATGGGCTAGCTCCTGAACTCTTGCAATTATGCATGCCTTTTTATGTGAATGGCTATATATATAAGCACAAGGATTGCAATTGTCTTAGGCATGGATACTGTGGCATGAAGGTAAGGGCTTGGAACTAATGGATGCATGTTTGAAGGATTCATGTGTTGAATCATCTCAAGTGCTGAGATGTATTCAAGTCGGTCTCTTATGTGTGCAAAAACTCTCAGAAGACAGGCCATCAATGTCATCTGTAGTTTCCATGTTGGGTAACGAAGGGTCAACAATACCTCAACCAAAACAGCCCGGTTTTTTCACAGAAAGTTCCAACACTGATGGTGAAGTTGAATCTAAAGATATAGGGTCGCATACAAATGATACAGCAACTATAACAATGCTGGAACCTAGATAGATTATTTATGTAAAACAATAATTCAACCAAAACATTTTATTAACATTGAGACATTAATGTGATATCGGGCACTTTATCTTATTCATCTCTTATTGTATTTTTGCATTAATCTTTCATGCTCCTTGTAAAAAATCAATGTCCACAAATTAACTTCTTAATGGTTGTAAAAAAAAAATTTAGAATTTGATCAATTTGACATTTGCACACACATATAACCTTAGCACCAGTACCTACTTGGTTGGAGAACTTTGAAATTCCTCCTCAAACCCCACCACCCACCACACACACAGTGTAGATATTGCGTGTGTGGTATGCCTGGCCAATAAAAATCAATATAACAGTTAGTTGAGAACAATTTTTAATAATAAGTGAGCCCAATTTCATAGAATGGCGTACTTCTATTGGCTACATACACTAATAATGTGACACGCCTAGCGCACTAAATATCTTCTCCATACACACCGACAAATCACACACACATTTATATATGTGCATAGAATTCCTTCATGTCATAGATAGATCCTTTTGACTGGAGGTGTTGAACTGAAATTGATAACAACGTTGCTTTTGCTTGTTGACTTGATAAAGGTTTGCCAAAAAGAGTCTTATTTTCTTATACAGAAATGAATACATTAAGCTGTTTTAGTTCTGCTCCTTTAATTTTGAAGAGGGAAAGAGAGAGAGCTGTAAATGAAGGGACTTCCCTGGCTGTTTTTCTGCTACTTGTTGAACACCTCAATTGCAGCCGACACATTAACATCTACCCAATCTATAATAAGCCACAACCAGACCCTAGTTTCATCAAGCCAAATCTTCCAAAAACAATCGATTTACAGTTGTCTGTGTAGCAAATAGAGATTAACCCAATTATTGATTTATTGGGAGCTTCGAGTATCAGCAAAGATGGAAATCTTATTCTACTTGTTCCACAGATCTTGGATAATGGGAATTTTGGTTTAGAAAAGGCAATTAAAGTGACCTGGCCTAGTGTTAAGAGCAACTTATTGAGTTTTGGAACTTGTGTTTTAAACTTTTTACCAGATAAGAACCACACACACTGTCACACACACATATTAACCTATGAGCCCTAAATTCCTACTAGTCTCAATTGGGAAATTGTCGATGAAAATGATAATTCTTTCTTTGTTGATGATACCTGTTAACAACCCATTATTCTAGAAACCTTATTGTCGATTTTATGAGTCCATGATTTTATTAATCAAGCGATGCCCAACGATTCATTCATTTCTTTCTTTAATTTTCTGTATACTTTGGAAGCCAACAACGACAATTGAATAAGTCAGAGATTAATATGTAAACAAGAGAGAAATTAGTAAAGAAAAATCAACAATAATGCTTAAATTCCTGTTGGAGAGCTTCTTCTAACAAAAATTCAGATTGATCCATCAAATCAGGGCTTAATCTGAACATGAGAACGCAGAACTCCATCTGATTGAGGGCTCCATCACCGTCGAAATCGCCTTCTTTCAACATACTCATCAGATCACCATCCGTCAAGTCCTGCAAACCCAACAGGGCAGAGTTCCTCTTGAGGCTCTCGAACGTGATGACCCCTTTATCACCGTCCATCAACAATTGAAACCCATTGCAGAGTTCTCCGATCAAACCGTCCCCACCCAATTTGTCAGCCATAACTGGCAACAAGTCTTCGAACTGAGCTTCGTTCACGGATGCCATTAAGGAAGTTTGGAGAGACTGAAGTTCTAGAGACGGAGAGAGAGAGAGAGAGAGAGAGAGAGAGAGAAAGGGAGAGATGGTTTGTGTGGGATGAGGGAGAGATATGTGGAGGGAGAGAATAAATAGGGGGGAGAAAGAGAGAGAGAGGAAGGGAGTTTGGGACTTCGGAGAAAGAGGGCCATGGAAGACAACTCAGGTACAGTTCACGCAAAGGTCGGCTTTCCTCGTATGATACTGCAATTGCCTCTCGCTTTCGAAGAAGCTCTACGGGGTTATAATAGTCTTTTTAGCAATGAGGAAGGTGAGCAGAAGATAATGCCAGAGAGGGGTGCTTGGTGATTTTGCTCACCACGAAGGTCATCAGGGTAGAATCGTCTTTTCAAATTTAAAAAGCATGAATTGGTCAGCCCAACCCAGAATGAGAGGTCTCCGTCACTTTTCTTAGTTGCTCTGTTGGAATAAGTTCTATCATATATATTTTTTAATGTGTTATTTAAGAAAAACAATAAATCTTCCGATGATTTCGTAGAAGACTATATAAGAATTATGTTTAGAGGATGTGAACAAAAATTATGTGAGAGAACATAATTTTTGTTGGGCATTTTCCACAGTGGGAGATATAATCAAAAGTGAATAGCAACATTTAAATTTGAATAATTACATTAATAGGTTTGAAAAAGTTTCCTCCCAATTCTGGTCAGAGTCCTCTGGTTTTGTTAGTTAGAAAATTAGTTATCCACAACCTATAACGTTGAAGAATTTTGAGCACACAAATTAGTCATACACGTTTTGTGGAAGTAGGGGATATATGCAAGTAGCCAGACAGCCATCCACCACTTGTAGTTGACAAACGTCGGTTTGACAGGTAGAAACCACTGGGGGTTGAATGTATGCCCTGTATTAAACACAAAAATTATGTGAGAGAACATAATTTTGTTAAACGTCGGTTTAACAAAATTTTGAATATTCATGTTTATTGAATGTATGCTGTATTCTTCCTAGTCTGTGCCGCCTAAATACGACCACACCTTGTAGGCCTATTCTTCAAGTTTCAATCGAATAGTACAGCCAGCCTGCCCGAGAGAGCATGAATATTCAATAAACATTCTTTGTTCTATGCTTCTTGAGATCAAAATTTTGTTCAGTTCTTTTTACTAGTAAAATTCTACACATATATAATAAATCACATATTTATAATATGACGTATGTATATCAACATTCTTACTTTTAACATTATTAATTACATAGTTACTCTAAATGAATTCTCTTCTCTAAATTTTAAACAAACACACCAAACAAACAGATGTGTTATAACATTTATATTTTGAAATAATTTTAGGGGTGATAAATAACCTCACTCCGACAGAATGGTAACCAGTAATGAATTTAACGTGGAGTTTATTTTAGAACTTCCTATCTTTATTCAATAATTTGCCTCTACTGATGTAATTTGTCCTTATTTGAATTATATGGAAATCTCACCTTTTTTTGTAATTAAAAATTATTATTATTATTATTTATTATTATTATTATTTTGTGCTCTGCACCAGTGTATCATTTTATTTGTGAATTAATTTGAGGTTAAAGGGGTTATGTCATCCTATTTGATCCTAACAAACTGTGCTATGTTCTTTTTATTTTAATAAAAAAGCTTGCATACGTCTTAAATGATATTCCCATACTACTATATATAGGCAAAATCAAATTCGATGAATATATAGGGTTAAGTGCAAAAAATTCCTTTAAACTATTGTCCTTTTACAAATAACTCCTCTGAACTAAAAACCGCCCCCTGAACTATTGATTTGTTGCAATTATGAACAAATTCATCACAAAAGACTATTTTACCATTCCTCATTAAAATTTTTATTTCTTATTAAATTATTTTTATTATCTTCTCTCTTATATAAATATTAATTATACTATTTACCTTAATTTTATTTTTAGTATCAATTTATCATAAAAATAAAAAAAGAATTAGATAAATAGATTTGTAATTACTATTTTCTAAATTGATTAACTTATTATTAAAACTTTATTATTTATAATAAAACGTATTATAACCAATTTAAACATTTTTATCTTAAAAAAATATTATTATTTTTTCATACAATATATTGATGAAAAATTAATAAAATACTTTTGAAAAAAACTACCTTCTTTTCATGTAATATATTCATTAAAAATTAAAAAAATAATTAATTTTTTTAAAAAAATTATCCTAAAATTTTTTATTTAAATAATTAATAAAAAAATTAAAGGTGAATTTATGCAAATTTAATGAAAAATATCTCATCAGTATGAATTTTTTCATAATTTTTTTAGATAAGAAAAATCTTATTAAATGTAATTCAATAAGAAGATGCACTATAGTCATTTAATAAAATATAGTATAGTTTTTGGGGTATGTTACAACAAAATGAGATAGTTTAGGGAGTTTTATGCACAAAATATAGTTTTAAGGAATTATTTACAACCAACGAGCCAGTTAACGGTATCGGCCTCTTACCTCCTAAAGGGATGTCAGGGGTTCAAGTCTCAGAAGAGACATGTGTGTATGAGTACTGTAATACCCCTAATTTTAAAATAATAGTTTCGGTATTTATTTTATTGTTTTATTACATTTTTTATTTGATTAGTTGATTATTTGTCTAATTATTTAATTATTTATTTGCCTAATTGAATTCTTTGTTTTAATTGCATTATATGTTTATGTGGATGTTCATTGATGGTTTAAATTAATTTATTTGTTTAACTTGCCTTTTTGTTTAATTAAAATTATAAGATAGGTGACTTGAATGAAATGTTTAAGTTAATTGTTTAAATCAAAGTGTTTAATTTTATTTAGGATGGGATTGGATGATATGGATTAAATGGGTACGGTTAATACCCATGGATGTTTATATATGTATATATGGGTATATATGTATATGTTGATTAGTTTAATTATTAGTAATTATTAATAATTGAATTTTAATTTTATTCATTATTTAGGGTGTATTATAAATTCTAGGGTTTTATATAGTTTCACGGGTTGCCGACTTGGTGGTATTTTTATTTTATTTTTCTTTTTGTTCTCTTAGTGTAATTAAGGTTAGAGATGTATACGCCCATAAATATAACCGTATATGTTTGTCTAGGGTTGGAAAACCCTATTTACGTACATAGTGACTTGAGAGGAAAACAGAGAGAGACTTGAGAGAAAAACAGAGAGGCTCAAAAAGGAAGGAAGGGATTTCTTCTGGGTTGAACCAAGAGCAATGGAGGTGTTGAACGGCAGTTTAGGAATTTGTCGGAAAACTCATAGACGATGGTTTAAGGTTTCAAAACTGAAACCGAAGGCAAGTTCTTATTCTAACTCCTTCCCTTAGACCTGTATTTTGTGCATGTTAGATAGTCTGTAGGACTTAATAAGACTTTAAAACGGATTTGTTATGCATGTTAAATCAGACTTTAATCTATGTTATACACTGTTAAATTGAAACTGATTTTTTTTAAACAGATTGTTTCTGTTAATTATTTTATTTCTTGTTAACGATGCGTATTGGATTTTTTATGAGGTTCTAAGATCTTTAGGACATAGATTGAACTTCTAGAAACCATAATAAGTTATTACAGAAAGGTTTAAACACCACCGGAGAAAGGAAGAAGATCGGAAATCAGGTTATGGTTCTCAGAGGGAGAGAGCCAACTCTAGGAATGAGAGAACCGGCTCTCACAAGGTCGAGCCGGCTCCACAAAGGGTAGAGCTGGCTCCCCATGGGGGAGAGCCGGCTCCATGGGGAGCCAGCTCCACCAAGGGGAGAGCCGGCTCCTTTGTTTTGAGAGGCAGCTCCTTCTCCAATTTTTTTTTTGGTTTTTCGTGGTTTGAGCTCTGTTTGCCAATTGGGGTATTTTGGAATTGTTTTAAATTGCAGTAAATGGTCTAAATAATTGTTTTAGACATTTAGAAATACTTGGAAGCAGTGTTATGTTAATATGCTTAGGAATGGAATAACATGAAGTTAAACAGAAAACTTGCATATTAAGTATTGAATGATTAATTTAACTTCTTACTTGTATTTAACAAATCTTTTCCATATGATTTAATATTGTTAATCATGTTTCAGCAGTGTTATAAGTGTAGTTGATGATCTAAATATAACTGTGCTTAGATTGGGTTAATTGATGTTTTAATTTATTGTATATTGCATCAATTATTAGACTATTTGAAAATTTTAAATGTTTAGTCTTATTGTAATAATTTAAAGGACTGGAACATGTTTTGTAAATCTTGTAATGGATGCATAATATGGTCATATACATATTAGACTTTATTTATGCTTATTTTGAAGTATGGTTGATGATTAAATTTATCATTTACTGCATCAATCATTTGATTTGTAAATTGTATGCACCGGTATGGGACGGTGGCATATTAGGGATAGATTAATTCAAGACACTAAGTCCTACCTATTCTGAAATAAGTTGGATTAACTATAAAAGTTAAGTCTTACTTATATTTATGTCAAGTCAATAAACAGTTGAATGACATACCTTGCTTTTAATAAATTATTTATATATATACTTATGGTACCGTGATATGAGCTTGAGTCTCAGGATTATGGTTAAGGTGCGTATATCGCCTAAGATGGATAACTGGACCTAGTTGTTGTTTCCCTGGTAGGTCTAGGTATACATGCACACGTTATGTGCGATTTGCATGTTACCTTCTATTCAGGCTGAGGCAGACATGTGGGCTAGTGGGCATCCTATAGTGTGTATTTATACCTATATGGACTACTTTAGTTATTGCTGAGTTATCTAGGATGTATCTGTGTATCGGGTCTCTATATAGATTATAGTAAAGTAAAACTTGCTAGTAGGCCTGACCCACTCTTATTTTTCAGGTGTTCGTCAGTTCCAAACTTAGAGTTTGATAGTGCTAAGCAGACACAGTCACTCACTCCTCCGATTACGTAGGATTTCCTTTCATATTTTAGTTTTGGATTTTGTTTCTGTACTTTACTTTCATTTGGGATTATTAGGGGTCCACTAGATAGATTTCCGAGTTGTACGGATATTGAAGAGTTTGGATTTTATTAGTTGTAACTTTTGAGAATTTTAATATTTAGAATTCTTTTCAACTTTTATTATTTTATTCTTAATTCTTTTTGTATTATGTGTTCATTTACATATAAATTGTCTGGTATCTCTTGGATTTGTGTTCAAACTTGATTACCCGTGACTCTAGAATCAAGAGGTATCACAAGTACCAACTAAAAAAAATAAAAAATAAAATATTTATAAATTCAAACATAATTCAAAGGGTCTTTTGCACTTTACCATATTATATATATATATATATATATATATATATATATATATAGTTGAGAAGTTGAGAGAGAGAGAGAGAGAGAGAGAGATGGGGTCAAGAAATAGCTTTCCAAGCAAGGCAAGAAAATTGAACATAATGGGCGGAGGGTGGGCAATGTATATTGGATTCGTGAAGCAAAAGCCAATTTATGTTCATACCTCTGTGGGCCTTTCTCTTCAGCAGGAATAATCATCAATTCTCATAATAATAATTGATGATAATCAAATTCCAACTCCACTATTTTTTAATTAATGTGGCCCCACTAAACAAACTGATTTTCTGGTGACTTTTAACAATTACATGTTCAAAGTTTGAAGGCTTCATTTACCACTTCCTTCTCTGGTAACTAATAATACTACTGTAGTATTTTATATAATGAACAATTTGACCGGTTTCCCCTCTAATCATTTATATTTTATAATGAACAATTTGACCAGTTTCCCCTCTAATAATTAATATTTTATAAACATGTGTCATATTCTTTCTATAATATTCAATAGTTAATAATTTTATTAGTTCATGATGAATTTGACCACGTTCTTAACATAACTGTTGATATTCACAAGTTTCGCTTAAAATTTCTTCTTTTCGGGCATTGTTTTTGCATTTTCCAGTATAGGGCAACTGTACTAGTCTAATTTTTCAAGATTTGTATATGAAGAAAACAAAATTGAGTGAGATTGAGTTGATCTTTTATAATTATATAATTTTCGTGAGTATGTTACTTATTCTTATTTTTTTCCTCATTTTTAGAGATGGTGACATATTGATCGAGATGTTTTGAGGTTTCTATTACTCAAATAAATGATAATTTTAGCAGATACATTATTCATTAATAAAATATTAGAGCTTGTTTCTCTTCAACTTTGTGAATATAGAATTGTTTATTCTCTAATGATGATCTGGGTGGTAATTCAATGTAGTTCAATTCAAATTTACCACTCATTGGTGTTTGGTGAATGTCAAGATGAGGTCGAGTCCATTGGAGTGTGTAAAATAATTTGACAAAAATTGATGAATAAGTTATTTTTATTAAGTTTTAATTTTTTTTTCTTCATAAATATTTTACGACAATCAAACATCAAAAAAATATTTTTGCAAAAATATAATATATCTAAACAAACGGAGATCCAATCTCTCTTGATACTAATCAAGCCACGAGTTTGGTAGTAACAAGTTTATTATTAATGTTGATAATATTATTTTATGTTTTTAAATAAATAAAAAAAAGTTTTAGATTGTTTTTGATAACTATATATTTGTATCAGGGAAATGATTATTGTACCTAATAATTGTATTGAATTGCTAAATTTATTATTTTAATTGATTAATTATGTAACAAATAAGGAAATAAAGCCATCCATTTAATTATATTGACTATAAATAATTAATTAAAATTATTCAATTCATTGTAAGAATTCGATGTGACTATCACTACTCTTTCTATAAACCAAACCAAATCCAAACCGAGTGCAACCTAAGACATGATAAAGATAAATTTAATCAGGCTGTTGGCACAGATTTGTAATTTAAGGTTTCTCTATCAGGGATTGTCTTGTCTTAATTTCGGTATATTTGGATAGAAGATGAATGCTAATTAGGAATAAGGACATATTGCATTTAAAATTGGCATATTTCATTAATTTATGATAAGCTTCGGTCAGCATGCATCCCACAGTGCGTCATCTCTCACCTACTAGGCCAAGACTTTTGCAGAAATTGAATTGCTATCAAGTATGGACAAACCAAGCCAAAGCCGTCCACGTTCGAATAATTAGATCCAAATCGTGTTGACCATTTCACTCATTTGTTTCTATGTATAATTTGGTTTGTCATCACATATCGAATCTTTTTTCGTTCGTCTTCGCCTATATACATTTATTAAAAAGATAAACTGGCATTATTCAGAGTCATCCTCTTCCTTTGCAATTAAAATGATGGTAGGCGTGACAACAGCATATCATCATTACTAGGAGGAGCCTGTTTCTTCTTCAAATTAGTTTTCTTTTTCAAAAAATTCTTAAGTACAAAATTTTAATCAATTTAATTAATTCACTATTTTTTTTTCCGTAAACAATAATTCACTATTTTTTCATGAAAAAAATAAAACATTAAAAAATTGCGAAAATTTTTTACACTATTAAGAATTTTCATTATTAACCAATGCTAAGTATAATGATAATTAAAATTTTATTTATAACTTAAAGGAGAAAATTTATAGATCATAATTTCACCTCGTATTTTGCAGGTTGAAAGTTTGAATCTTTTTGGAATCATTTAACAAAAAGAAAAAAAAAATAATTCTTTTATGCACATAAATGCAAAAGATTGCATATATTGGATGAATTATAAATTATTTTGAGAAATCTTAGCGTCATTATTTTCAAGATAAATATATAGTGCGTGTGTGTGTATGTGTGTGTATATTAGTTGTGAATTTCTAAAGTTAGTTGGGAATTATTATAAAGAGTAGGATTTCATTATCTTATTGATAAAATTTCATAAAAGTATAATTTATAAAATTAAAAAAAAAAAGAATTAAAAAAATGATAAATGTAGGACTAACTAAATTAAAATAAAGGTTTAAGTGATTAGTGTAACCTTAACTAATCTGAGAGGATTTAAGTATAAATAGAGCTTCGTTGTTGTGCTTTCAATCGTCAACGGTGCAAAGTAAGCTGAAAGCAGAGAGAGTGCGTGAGAGAACGCGGGCTAAAACTTGTGAGGACTCCACTCCATCTATCAATGGCCACCAAAGTGTATATCGTGTAAGAATACAACTAACTGGATCGTTTCTCTCTCTACTTTCTCTCTCTAGTTGTGTACTTGGATGATTCTCTGTTCTTATGGATCTTTCTTGTGTGCCTTATAATTGCATTTATTAGATGTGATAATTGATCGATCGACTAAATCTTGAACTCTCTAGGTTTCCTTTTCTTTTCTTCTGTGTGTAACTTTTGGATTCATCGACACCATGGTGTCTTTGAGACGCAATTGATATTTTTGAATCTTTTTTAATTATCTGAATTCTTGATCAATTTCGATATTCATTGATTGCTTTTCGATTTTCGTTATGTTAGCGATTAATGGCAAAACTTTATCTATAAATGTTTATGTATTTTCCAGTCCTTCACCTATATTTTGTTAGTACCTAAATTCTCTCTTATCTAGTTGAATGCCACAAATTTTAAATAAAAAAAAAAAGAAGAAGAAGAAAGGAAATCGGTTGATCCTCTGACTTATCACTGAACAATACCAATAATAAAACTGAAAGCAAATCTTGATTCAATTTTCTAAGTTCAGTTCAGTGCAACTCTTTTATTACTATCTATATGTTTCTCTCTGGTATCGCACAGTTGAAATTGAAAAGAATCAAGGGAACTTGTTCCGCAATTCATAAACTTCAGAATACAATCTCTTGATTTTGAATATATTTAATTCTTTATGTTCAAGACTTTTGTATTTGATTCTTTATGTTCAAGAATTTTTTATTTGATTCTTTATGTTCAATATTTTTGAATGATTGTTTGCATCAAGGATGTATGTGATCATCATTATAAAACCTCTACTGTTTCTTAGGGATTGAACAAAAAAAACAAAAACAAAAAGAGAGAGAAAAAGAAAAGGAAATTAATAATAATAATAATAATAATAGAAAAACAAATACATGCAAGCAAGCCAGCCAGCATATAGTTGCTAATTCATCGCAACTGTATATGAAGCTCATATTTAGTTTCCTTGAGGTTTTCCTAGGTTAAGGGTAATTACGATGGAAGGAGCCATTGCTTGGTGCAATGGTAGAAACTTAGGTTGTCAACTGTGAGAATGCAAGTTTGACTTTGATGGCAGCCATTTCGTAAATAGAAAATTGGAGGTTAGGTCTTTATAGTTTATCTCGTCCACTCCTCCCAACATCTATTGACTTGATAATATATTTTGGTCTTTAAGCAAATATTGTTGAAGTTATTGCATCATGATTATGATAAGGTGATACTACTGTGGTTGGTTACATCAGGAACATCTGAGATTTTGAAATTGTTGTCTTTATAATAGAGAAATAGTTGGAAACAACTTCCGGTCAGTGGTAAAAAAAGGGGGGGAAGAAGAAGAAGAAGATAATGATAGAAAATTAGAAATGTCTGGGAAAATTTTTCTTGGAAGAGAGTTGTGTTGCAATTTCCAAATTAGACACTCAGAAAGCTAAGCTTCAATCATGACCAGAAAATGGCTAATCTTCAGCCAGTTAGAAATTAGAAACAAAGAGAGTCTACAGTTTAATTTATCAAAGAATGAGATCAGGGTTTTGGAGAGGAGAAAGACAAACTTTTGCTTTCTTATTGAAGGTATTACTGACATTTGTGGCATCCCTGTTGAGAGCTTCCTCAAGTGTTCTCTTGGGTACCTTTTCAGTTTCTCCTTTCCTACCACTAATGTGTTTTTGCTTTTCTATTCTGTCGTACAATGTCCAATTGTTCAATATTAGGGTTTCTACTATAGTGACATTGTAAGTTTGTGATGTCATTTGAGATATGATCCGGACTCATACACTGTAGACAATGGCTTTGCTACATGTGTTTGTCTAACATATACATTAAACTCTTTTGAGGAACCACAAGTTGGAAGATAGGTGGTTAGTTCCTCGCTATCATGGTGCCCAGTCAAGGGTCCATATGCATGAATCTGCATATCTCTCTATACAGGTTCAATTAGAAAGCGGAATAGATTTTGGGAGGTTGGTTTGCCACATTTGGGAAATATAGAATTCATGTAGCTAAACCCAAGTAGTTGGAAAAAGGGCTTCTTCTTGTTGTTGTTGGTTTGCCACATTTGGATTGCTGAGAGTTTGTGACAATTTCGTCAATTCGTGCAAGGAGAAGAAAGAAACTTGAGGAGGAATGGATGAATTTTGTAACATGTATTTTATAATGGCATTGTGTACCTTTTTATAGATTTCCCCACAATGTTTGATGGCCTGAGTTATCTGTAATGGTATTGTGCTGCCAAAGTTGCAGGTCTTGTTCGTCGGTGTTATGCCTCTTCTCCTATGTAAAGTGGCAACATGGATAGTGCCGTCCAATGTCTCTTTACACCATATCAGTGTTTGCCACATTTTGGTCCTGTGCAGATGATTTAGTTATTCCAAAAAGTACTTTGAATTGTCACAACCTCCTTGTAAACTGAGATCTTTCAAATCTTCCTCCTTTCTTTCTGTCTTAATTTGGTGTCAAGTTCTGCTTTTTGAGTACCCTTTTGTACTTGGGTTCAAAACAACTTAGTATCAAGATTCAGGAACACCATTATCTAACCCATGCTCTGGAATGGCCATGGCGTCTTAATTTATTTGTTGCTGGGTTGCCAGGGGCTCCCATGTCCTGGAGATGTCAATGTGTGATTTCCTTGCGTGGCCTGTCACTTGGGCTCCTAAAGCCCTTCTGTGGTTTTGCTGATTTAGTGCATCAGCAGATGACGCTTTTATTAATAGTGATGCAAGTAAGTACACATTTATATGCATTTGCTGGCCGCACGACTTCTTTTAACATAATCATATATTAGTTGAGAATACCGTTATTCAATTTGTGGAGGTAAAACATTAAAAATTCATTCCTATAAGATATCAACTTATATAATTTATTTTACATACTTAGATACTCATGTGCACGGACACTCACACTAGTAAGAAGTAATATATTTCCCTTTCTTCTTGTGTTCCATGTGCAGGCTTCAATAAGCAATTTTTTTAATATTATTATTAATGATGACCAAACTTTCTATCCTGTTCCAGGTACTATTCTATGTACGGACATGTAGAAAAACTAGCAGAAGAGATAAAGAAAGGGGCTGCATCTGTTGAAGGGGTTGAAGTCAAATTATGGCAGGTATATATTAGCTCTCTTTTTCTCTATTCAAAGGGAGTAAAGACGAACAAAGTTTGGGAAATCATATCTTGGACATTGATCTTCTTAAAAAACTGCAAGTTAGCTTGTTGACAAGTATCTGGATGGTAGTTGGTAACTTCAAAGTTTCCATTAAGGTTTCTATGTGAAAGGATGCGTTCCATTTTACTGATGCATTGCTTTCATCATCATATAAATTACCATGGTGAATTATTGTTGTATCATGTTTATTATACTTTTAAGTCAAAGTAAAAATATGATCAAAAGCAATTTTAGGTTGCGATTGTCAAAAAGAAAACATAAATAGATTGAGGGGAGATGACACATGCATTTGGATGCAAAATGTGAAATGTTCTTGCAAGACTATCTTGGTTTGGTTCTGCATATTTTATTGTTAATTTTTATTGTTAAGTTGCAACATGGGATGATAGTTCTTTCAAACTGAAGAGTGAAGAATCTGAAGACATTATTTATTTTTTAGAATCTAGAACAATCGACTTATGAGGTTTGACTGACTACAACTCTATGCCAGTTAATGCTTTAGTTGAACCTTTTGGTGGTGAGGTGCATTACTTCTATTTGCTAAGGTATAGAAGATCAGTTCCCAAGTTTAGAGGTCTTTATTCAGTCAGATGCATTTCTAAAGCTTCGTCTCTCACAATTTTCATCTACATGTTTTCAGCTCCCTCCATGACCCATTATAAACTTCTTTTCATATCATGGTACTCCTCACTGATGATGCTATCATTGTTCATCCCTCTCGGCGTTGATGGCATTGTTCCCTCTCTTTGTCTTTTTTTTAACATCTCAGCTGATTCACCATTGGGTTTACTCCAGCACTTTTTTTTTTCCCTCTCATTCCTGCATATTATGAACTTAAATTTCAGCGTTTCTCTAGTTGTGTCCCTAACACTTTGCTCTATCAACAGGCAATGGTTGTGAGCTGGAAATTTTATCCAACTTTTATTTTTCTTCTTTGTTTTCCCTCTCTTTATTTGCTGTTATCTCTGTTCTCTGATTATTCCCCTTGGAACGACAAAACCAAACAAAGAGATCAAAAAAAAAAAAAAAAAACCTAACAAATCAAACAAAACCCTTCTAAGGCGATTAACTCCCTCTATAATAATGAAATGATGGTAGTCAGGGCATCCGCTACTAATAGTTCTGTGGCTGTTCCCTTTTCGGCATGAACATCCTTTGGTTGAACTGTTCTAGCCTAGCACGAGGCAGAAATTTTAATGTTCTAGGCCTTCTTATAAATAAGTACCTTTTTACTTGAAATAGGTCCCTGAGACACTACCAGAGGAGGTGCTTGGGAAAATGAGTGCACCTCCAAAAAGTGACGTACCACTCATTACTCCTGGCGAACTGGCTGAGGCTGATGGGTTTGTTTTTGGCTTCCCCACGAGATTTGGAATGATGGCTGCTCAATTCAAAGCATTTCTTGATGCAACTGGAGGTCTATGGAGAACACAACAGCTTGCAGGCAAACCTGCTGGGATCTTTTTTAGCACCGGATCCCAAGGCGGCGGACAAGAAACTACTGCGTAAGTTCCCGTTGGGAAGTTTTTTACGTACCTAGAGATAAACTTAAAATTTGAAATACAAAGAAGAAATTAATTATTGAATTGTTTTTTTTCCTTGTGAATTATATTATAGGTTGACTGCCATTACTCAGCTGGTTCACCATGGGATGATCTTTGTGCCCATTGGATACACATTTGGAGCCGGCATGTTTGAGATGGAGAAAGTGAAAGGTGGTAGTCCTTATGGTGCTGGAACTTATGCTGGCGATGGCTCCAGACAGCCAACTGAACTTGAATTAGAGCAGGCTTTCCACCAAGGGAAGTATGTTGCGACCATTACAAAGAAACTTAAGGGAGCTGCATGATTTCTATTGACTAAATTGATATTGCTTGGCATTCTCATATATTTTTTTCTCTATACTTTCAGTGTCGTATTTCTTTGTGCTTGCAACAGATTATTTCTTGCTTTGTTGGAATACATGCTTTGTATGTGCTATATTCAGTACAGTGATTTCTATCAATGATAAAACTCTGCTTATTTTTGTGTGTCTGTTTCTTATCATTGACCCTAGATCTGATGTTTGTTCTTTTTGTTTTTCCTTTTCCTCTTGTGAAGAAATATTTTGCCTCATGAATACACAATTCCAAGTCATGAGCAAGCTAGTAACAGCATGACAGCTTAAATTGGAAATGATAAATGAGTAATAGAATTTGGATGGGTAAGTTTAGTGTTTCGCTTTGTTATGGGCAGACTTCTCCTCTGTGGCAAAATTGTAGCAGGTCTACTGAGGCCCAGAGTGTACCCATTCTATAAGAAGAAAATGCAAACAAAATACTGTTTAGTGTGTGTGAGTTGAGGGAGGGTGTGCCTGTGTTCGTCCCCACCCCCCCCCCCCCCCCCCCCCCGCGGCGGCGCGGGGACATGAGGAGAGTTTGGGAATCAGTTGATGAAGATATTCAAGCACCTAATAAAACTAGAAGCCAGGTCCTTATGGCACATGCTATTTTCATGCCAAATCCTTCGAGGGTTATGAAATCTTGTATTTCAGTTGAATATTGATTTTGTGGAACCAAACACTGCCTTGCTCTTGCTCTTGCTCTTGCTCTTGCTCTTGCTCTTGCTGTTGCTCCCGTAAAATGATTCTTCTGTTAGCAAGGAGGGGCTTCCCATGACCTCCTGTCAAGTACTAGCAGTGGCAAAAATGGCATTTTCTTAGTGTATTTTGGGAGAGAAAAACAAGAGATATAGATCAACTTTTGGTACTGTTTCTGCTAACCTAATCTTAATAAATCTAGCCTAAACTTGACCAAATCTTTGTGCCAAGCTAATTAACATAACATGAATTGTTGATCTCGAAACAATAAAATCATTCCACCTGAATGTATATATTTCTTTTTTCTTTGATAAAAAAACTCCCAAACCCATTTGCCCTTGTGAGAACTTAAAATCTCACTCACTTTAAAAAGTAAATTAGATATGACTATGTTACATAAATCCTCTCATATACATTTACATCACCATGATACAATATAATACTCCTTCTGTCCCAGGTTAGATGTCCTTTTTGGGGAGTAGAACTTTTTAAGAGGACATGTAATTATTCCCTTTTAAAATTACAAAGCTATCCTTTCAAGTTTATATATATATATATAATCAAATTTGAATTTTTTTTAAATTTTAAGAGTATTTTATAAAAAGATGTGAAATATGTTATTTAAATTTAGTAATTGGATAAGTATTTTAGGACAATCTAAAAAGAAAAAATGAACAACTAAATTAAGATTTTAGTTAGGCCCGTGTAACAAATATGCAACACTGTATTTATGTAAACACAGAAGCTGTAATATGACTTTGATGATGATGATCTGCAAAAATGTGGTAATGCGTGGGACTTCTAATATCTAGTGTGACGCAAGAAGGAGGTACAGAAACTTCCATCATTAATCCTATATGTGCCAAATACGCAAAAAAAAACTATATATTTCTTAGATATCAAATAACCTCCGTGGCCATACAAAATAATTCACTTTGAAATAGCGTAAATCTTGTACTTTCACCCTACAAAATATAATCATTGATAAAAGAGCTGGTTGCCCCAACCAAATAATTTCATGGAGAATTCCCTTTTTTCTGTAACCCAACAGCTCTAAGAGTATTCTTCTAAAATATTAAACAATTGACTTATGAAATATGTGCTTATCAGCAGGGCTAAAATATAATATATATATATATATATATTTTATCATGAACAGAGTTAAAGTCCCAGTGTAATGGTAAGTTCTAATTTGGTAGTTGTTTATATTATATATATATTTTATCATGAACAGAGTTAAAGTCCCAGTGTAATGGTAAGTTCTAATTTGGTAGTTGTTTATATTATTGAGCTCAGATATTTATTGTTTGCTCACTTTTGTTACATGATAGAAACACATCTAACCTGTGTCATAATTGAATGTCTAGCAGTAGTATTGTGGATAGCTAGTGTTCAAGTTGTGACTACAGTAGCTTTTTTGCCTAGAAGATGAAGGGAAAGAAGCAATGAGAATCTGGATCTTGGAACAACTATTCCAACCCTATATATTTTTCCCACCTAAACTAAAAATTGAAGATCCTAATTAATTGATTTTTTAAAAAAAATGATTAATTTGTGCAGCTTCGGACAATACAAATTCATTAATGTTGATATTACCACTCTCCAATAATGTTTTTGCCCAGAAATAATTTCCATAAAAACAAACTTCCCTTCTGGGAAAATTAAATGCAGTGGAAATTAAGTACTAGTTACCATCATCAACTTGTAGAAATTAGCAGCAATCGGCCCTAAAAACTAGGGAACAACTCAGACAAGACATAACATGTACGGGAAAAAAACTCTATTCCTGTATCAGCGGAAAAAACCATTTCCGATCACCTCTCACCGAAGAGAGTCTAGTGCTGACCTGGCATGTAACGACCCGAACCCGAGGGTCCGAATCGCTAACCGGGTCCTTACCCGAACCTGAGGTAAACTAAAGACGTTACCATCCTTTCCTATGGCAATACATAATATACGTGTCATCCCAGAGTTTATTAATACAATGAGATCATAGATACAAAATAGGTCAAATAGTCCACTAACCCATCAAAACCTGTGGAGGAGCGTCATCCACCACTTCCTTTCCGTATCCTGAAAAATGTTAAAATAATGGGCTGAGCTAAACGCTCAGTAGGAAGTGTCTAAGACACACTTCTTACAACCCTGTGAATCCACATAAGGAATAGAGTACAAGTAAATGGGATCATGCCTCGGGGAAAAACAAGTAAAATAACGATAATATCAACAAATATATACGCAAGTCGTCTAACCACCAAATGTACAATGTATGCCAATGAAATGCCTTGCCATGCCATGTCGCTTCCCATTTCCGAAATAATACCGTTTCAACTTCCAAACCGTTAGTGCAATCCGACCCAAGGCACCTCCAAGGCGTCATGAATGGAGGGTTGACTAACTATCCACGACCACAAGGCACTTCCAAGGCGTCGCATCCGGCCTAGTTAGCTCAACCATACTCCCTTTTAAACTACACTAACAACACGAACCGCTAGGCGCCTCCTAGACATCCGGTTTTCACAAATACTTTTCAAAAAAAAAAATTCCCAAAAACAATTTCATTTGTTTTTAAAACAAACTTTTCCCTTTACTTTCCCAATGGTAATGCATGAATTATGTAAATCCTTCAATGCCATGACAATATAGAAATCTCATTCACATCATTCACATTATTCAAGCATGTTTAAAACATGAATTTTCACAGAATATCACATTCTCATATTTCTAAATCATGGCATTTTACATACTTTCAATTCACAAATCCAACAACTTGAATATATAAGGCATAAAACAAAGTCATTTATTTTCATAACTACAACATCACTTTTCATAGCAATTTAAAATCGTAGGACATATAATACATCAATACTAAGCATGCTTCTTCACCACAAGAATTTAATCATATTCATAAGCTCACTTAACACATAACATGCCTTTATCACCTTAAATACCAACAACCACAACAAACATAATCCAGATAATTACAATTAAGCATACTTAGAGTCAAATTAAAAGAAAAATTCACAAGAAATCTAAGAAATTGTGGATTAGAGCACCCTTACCTCAAGAAATGAAGAAAACCCCATTTTCAGCCCAAAATTGAAATCCAAATGGTGACCAAATTGAACTTTGCTCCGATCAAAATAACGGCCTCAACGAGCGCTCCAATATTGCCTTAAGAGGTACTATCAAATTCACAAAGAGTAAGGCTAGATCAAGCCTTGAATTTGTGGCAAAAGAAAAAGGAAAAAATGTAAGAAATGAGGGAGAGAGATAATCTGTCGAGAGAGAGAAAATTTCATTTGTAATGGCTTAAAAGAATGAGGTGGGTCCCACTCACCCTTTTTTTTTTAAATATCACCTTTAACTTTATTATATATATACATTATTCACTTACCACCACACATACATACATATAAATATATAAAAATCACAAATATTACATGGCACTTTGTATTTACTATATATATATATTTACGAATCTACCATGTTTGTATAAATCTTTATACACAATATATATTATATTATTTAATTGAGTGTCAAGTCTCACATGTAAAGAGTTACTTACTGTGAGTAATGAATGTTTTGTATAGTTTTAGATCTCATTTAAAATTTGAAACTCCCCCAAATTCTCTCTCTCCCAAATTGCTCTTCCAAACAAAATACAACATCTCTCTCTCATCTTAACCATAAAATCTGATTTAGGGTTTTATACCACATATGAATAAGGTTAGCACAACCAAACATCTTCTTTTATACATCTTTATTTTTATAATTTTTTTTAGAATGATTTGATCTTTTATATATCTTGGATCGTCAAATGAGTTTTTTAGGGTTTTGATTTGAGATTTTTAATTTTTTCTTCTTTTTTTTTTTCTTTTTTTTTTTGCGATTTTAGGTTTAATTTGGATTAATGGCAAAGATTTGCATGAACGAAGTGTGCCGTCAACCATGACGCACGACTCACGTTGGTTAATTTTGTTATCGGCTCTCTGTGTCCTCTCGGCGCTCGTTAGGCATCATCAGCAAACCATTTCAAGTCTAGGCAAAGTCTACTGCGACACTTGCTGCGCCGGATTTGAGACTGACAAACCCTCCTACATCGCTGGTATATATATCTCTCTCTCACACTCCTATCTTTTTATCAGATCTAATTATTTTACTATTTTTTCCTCTAATTCAGATATATATACACATAAATACATTTGGGTCCTTTTTATTTTGTTAATATTCATAATTTTTGTTATACATATGGCTTAGAATTATACGAGTTTATATATATATATATATATATATATATATTGGTGTTCATGATTATTGTTGTAGATTTGGCTTAGTTTTTTTTTTACAGACACCTAGATGGGTTTTTTTTGACAAGTTTGTGTATGGAGTATTCAATATGTATTTTTAGTTTTTTACATTTGATTTCCTTTTCCTTCCTTATTATCATTTTTTT